GGACAATATAATACTAGTTCATTGCTGTAGAGGGTCAAGGAAAGGTTTATATATGGAGGGAGACTTTCTTTGTTGGTTACCAGGGGTAGGAGGGGAGAGGAGGGAACACTGCAAAAAAATAAATAAATAAATGAAAATGCATTGACCCATGTCACTTTAGTTTTGTGTATTTCACTGTACGTAAATTATATTTCAATAAAATGCATTAAAAAATCATATGAGGTATTGCATTGGGAAAATCTGCTGCAAAAGCCCTTTTTAAAGTATTTAAAAATAAAGATGTCACTTTGAGGACCAAGGTGAGCCTGCCCCAAGCCATGGTGTTTTCAATCACCTCATATGCATATGAAAGCTGGACAATAAATAAGGAAGACCCAAGAAGAAATGATGCATTTGAATTATGGTGTTAGCAAAGAATTTTAGATATTCCATGGACTGGCAGAAGAATGAACAAATCTGTCTTGGAAGAAGTACAGCCAGAATGCTCCTTAGAAGTAAGGACAGTGTTACTTAGTCTCCCATATTTCTGACATGCTATCAGGAGCTCTGGTAGCATAGTGGCTAAAGTACTTGACTGCTAACCAGAAGGCTGGCAGTTCAAACCCACCAGCCACTCCTCGGAAGGAAGGTTGGGCAATCCTACTTCCGTAGTGATACTGCCTTGGAAACCCAAGGAGGGGTTGCTATGAGTCGGGGCCGACTCGGCGGCACATAACAACAACAACAACATCAGGAGGTACCAGCCCCTGCAGAAGGGTATCATGCTTGGTTAAGTAGAGGCTCAGTGAAGAAGAGGAAGACCCTCAATGAGATGGATCGACACAGTGGTTACAACAATGGGCTGAAACATGGCAACAATTTTGAGGATGGCACAGGTCTGGGAAGCATTTCATTCTGCTTTACATAAAGTCGTTATGAGTCAGAATCAACTTGACAGCACCTAACAATGACATTAATGAGCCTATGTGGAAATTCAACTTCACAGACTACTAAAATGTTAATTTTGCTTTAGGATGGAATTGTACCACTCATACTGCCCATAAGCCTTGATTGTCACTTTAATGTGTTTTTTATTAATAAATGCAGAAAAATGAATTATTGGTTAATCAACACAGTTCTGTAGAAAAAAATCTTACAAAAGAAAACAAAAATAATAGTATGGTTTTTGGTTATAGAAAATAAAGAACCACTAAATTAGATCATTCTTAAGAAATAATTAATCCCAAAAGAGAATTGTAGTAGTTAAGGTTGTGTCTAAATTTGGCTGTTGTTGTTTGTTGTTATGTGCCATCGAATCAGACCTGACTCATAGCGACCCCTCCTTGGGTTGCCAAGGCAGTATCAATACGGAAGTAGATTATCTTCCTTCCGAGGAGTGGCTGGTGGGTTTGAACCACCAGCCTCCTGGTTAGCAATCAAGTGTCTTAGGCACTATGCTACCAGAGCTCCTAAACTTGGCTGGGCCGTGGTTTTGAGTGGCTGGGCAGCTGGATGTAGTTATTTCCTATAATGAGAATGTAATCACCTCCAAGGTGGAGTCTGCTGTAAGTAGCTAAGTAGTTGAAGGGGAGTTACATTCTGGGTGTAACCTGCTTCCAGGATATATAAAGAGAAGGTTTGGGAGAGGTCTCTAGCTTTTTGGCATATTTTGGATCCTGTGTTTGGCCAAGTCTTCATCTCTTCATCTCCAGTTCCTGAACTTGAACCAGTAGCCTGCCATGTTACCTGCTGATTTTGGGATTGTGCCATTTTACCTGCCAATCTTTGGTTTGTCAGCCTCAGCAGCCAGCAGCTGCCTGAGTTAGGAGATGCATCCAACTCCAGTGGTCCTGGAACAAGAAGCAGAGCTGAAGCCCAAGGTCAAGGGGCCTTCACCCAGCCCCTAGAGCTAGCACTCTGAATTCAGACTTCTACCCTTCTACCCTCCTGAACTGTAAGAGAATAAATTCCTGCTTGTTAAAGCCATCAACTTGTGGTATTTCTGTTATAGCAGCACCAGAGAACCAAGACAAGGATTTTATAAAATTGGAAGAAATGCTGCTTGTCCAGATTATCAGTGGTTCGGAGGGTACACTTGACAGAGATACTAAGGAATAACTTAGAGCAGAGAGAGGGAGATTTTAAACTAACCACAGCTCCCAAGTCAGCCTGTCTTCAAAGCTCTCTGTGGGACATCACCAGGCTGCTTGTGCCCATAGCCTGGATAGACATCAAGGGAATTATGAGACAGAGTAACCTCCCAAAGCCAGGGCTCTGATAAGTTGTTTTGAGGAGAGGGTGTTTGCACATCAGTATGCTAAAAATCCAGGGAGAAAGCTAAGGACAGAGGATGCCCCTATACTAGACCAGAGCCAACCTCCCCAAAAGCCTAGGTCTAGCTCCAGTCCTCCCGAGTTACCCATCTTCTGTCCACAGTCCAAGGACAGAACCAAAGCCACATCCTTCATCAAAGGGAAGGGGCTCCACACAGCTGGTGGAAAGGATCTCTATGGTCCAGGTGTTCCCACAGATTTCCTGTAAAGTGTCCTCTGGGGGAGCCCAGCCTTGTCCCCTTCTCCTGGACACAACTCTCAACCTAGCCCCTGCAGCCATTCAAGCAACTTAACCTGGGTCAGTGGTGTTGCTAATGTTGTGTTTATTAATGCTCTAGTATTACCCAGGCTATAAAGACAAAGTCAGAGTTTAAAAAAAGGACTTTCAGGACTCAGTGTCAAGTTACTGACTTGCTGTGGCTCCCTAGGGCCCAGAAGACCCACAGATCTTTCACTGGTGATTGGGAGTGCAAATTGGTATAAGAGTTTTGGAGGACAATTTGGAAATGGATGTCAATGACCTTAAAAAATATACATACTCTTTGGAGAGTAATTTCTCTCCTGGAAATTTATGCTAAGAACCAAATTAGACAAGTGTACAAGGATGTGGACAATGATCTTCATCATGGCAATGTTTTTTAACAAAACAACTGAAAGTCCAATGATAAGGTACGGATGAAAGAAATCAGGATAAATACATATAGTGGAATACTATGCAGAATTAAAATGATATAAACCAAAACCAAACCAAACCCACTGCCATCGAGTCAATTCCGACTCATAGTGACAGTATAGGACAAAGTAGAACTGTACCATAAGGTTTCCAAGTCTATAAATCTTTATGAAAGCAGACTGCTTCATCTTTTTCCTGTGGAGTAGCTGGTGGGTTCAAACCACTGACCTTTTGGTTAGCAACCAAATGCCCTAACCACCGCACCACCAGAGCTCCTTAAAATAACATAAATATATATTTATTGATAGGAGCTCTAGTAGCATAGTGGCTAAAGCACTTGACTGCTAACCAGAAGGCTGGCGGTTCAAACCCACCAGCCACTCCTCGGAAGGAAGGTTGGGCAGTCCTACTTCTGTAGTGATACTGCCTCGGAAACCCAAGGAGGGGTCGCTATGAGTTGGGGCCGACTCAACAGCACATAACAACAACAACAACAAATTGATAGGAAGAGTTAAATGATGTAAATTGAAAAAAAAAAAAAAACAGTTATGAAATAATGTATAGTAGGGTCTTGGTTTTGTAAAAAAGAAACGTGTGTGTGTGTGTGTGTGTGTGTGTATAAAAAATCTGGAAGGATATACAGTGTTTTTCCTTTCTTTCCCTTTGTACCTTCTATGTTCTGTATAAAATACTATGGATTACTTGAGGGGAATTATATCAAGTGCACAGACTCAGGTTCAGACCATCTGAGTTTGTGCCTCAGTTTCCTCATCTGCACTTCAGTTTTCACATTTTAAACTAGTCTCAGTTTTTATATGTAAAATGGGGATGATAATTGTACCTACCCCATGGGAGATTTTGTAAGGATTTTGACTTTGGAAAGCATTTAACAGAGTGCCTGATGCCCAGTAAACACTAAGCAAACATTATTTTTTTATTTTTGTTTTTATTGTGGTTTGGGTGAAAATTTACAGAGCAAATTCACTTTCCATACAGCAGTTCACATATACTTTGTCTCATGACATTGACCCAAGCAAACATTATTAGTGAATAATAAATAATAATCCATCCACTCCATAAATAAACTTCGGAGGTGAGGTCCATGTTGTAGTGACACCTGAAGGGGGCATCCAGGCTTAGGGTTGTCTTCAAATTCCATTTTCATGTAGTTTACTAAATGTCTCTTCTTCTGTTTTCCGGTTGGGGCCCAGAGGTCAATGTCTAATTGCATGGCTATCTGAAACCCCAGCTCCCAAGAATCTGCCTTGAACAAAGGGAATGGTCTTATTTCCTGGTACCCCAATTTGGAACAGAGCCTGGTAGAGGGAGAAAGCCCTCTGAAAGTTAAAAAACAACAAACCAGTTGCTGTTGAGTCAACTCTAACTCATGGTGACTCTAGGTGTATCAGAGTAGAACCGTGCTCCACAGGGTTTTCAGTGGCTGATTTTTTGGAAGTAGACCATTAGGTCTTTCTTCCATGGTGCTCTGGGTGGACTCAAATGTCCATCGTTTCATTAGCAGCTGTGCTGACCATTTGAGCCACCCAGGGACTCTCTCTGAAAATTATTATAGGAAAAGTAATTTTTCCAAGGAGGTTTTGTTTTTCTCTAAAATGTACCAAACATAGTAATTTAATAAGCCTATCAAATAATACATAACACATGTTTTTGTTCCAAAAATAATAAATTAACTAGATTTATAAAGCACACATAGGAAATAAATAGTGCACATATCAAGATTTTCACCTGAATTTTCATTCATTTCCCTTCAAAGGTCCTTCCCATCCTGAGTAGGGTTCAGAACCGGAAACTTTTCACCTGTACCTGTCTTATGTCCCTGACAGCTCGCAGATAGGAGGAAGGCTGACACAGGCCTTTGGGAGGTGTGAGGAAGGAGATTAAAGATGGCAGGCGCTGGAGGACAGGTCTCTGGGAGAGGGGCCCAGGGCCAAAAGGGGAGAGTCGGAGGAAGAGATGGGGTGTGGCTCAGCCCCTGCCTCTTCTGTCTTCCACAGGAGCCTTCTTTATCCCCTATTTCATTTTCTTCTTCTCCTGCGGCATCCCAGTGTTCTTCTTGGAGGTGGCACTGGGCCAGTACACCAGCCAAGGGAGTGTCACAGCCTGGAGGAAGATCTGCCCCCTCTTCCAAGGTGAGTATTTTTCCTCTCCCTCCTTTCCTAGGTCTTCCCTGCATCCATGGGACTATCACCTAACCTACATCCCTCCATTGTCCCTCATCCTCCCTATACAGCCTTGGCCTCATCCATTCATCCACATTCATCCTGTACAAGGGTGTGTGCGGGGTGGTATAAAGATGTACAATTAGGACAGATCCAGGTTGTATGGGACCCAAAGCTTATAAAACTCTTTCAGAAAAACAATACAAAATTACAAATACAAAATTAGGTGCCAAGCCTTGGAAGGAGTGCCTTCGAGTGAGGAGTCCTGAAGCTTACTCTTTCTCAGCCTCATGGAAAATCTACTCGAAGGTGATGACAGTGTCCCAGGTTGTTGTTGTTAAGTGCCATTGACTCATTTCCAACTCATAGTGACCCCATGTACAACAGAACAAAACACTGCCCGGTCCCATGCCATCCTCACAGTCCTTGCTATGCTTGTGCCCATTGTTGCACTCACTGTTCAATCCATCTCATTCAAGGTCTTCCCCTTTTTCTCTGACCTTCTACTTTACCAAGAATGATATCCTTCTCCAGGTACTAGTTCCTTGTGACAACGTGACCAAGGTAAGCAAGACACTTCTTCCAGGATAGATTTGTTCGTTCTTCTGACAGCCCATGGTATTTTCAGTATTCTTTGCCAAACCACAATTCAAAGGCATCAGCTCTTCTTTGGTCTTCCTTGTTCATTGTCTAGCTTTCACATGCATATGGATTAAAAATACCATGGCTTGGGTCAGGTGCACCTTAGTCTTCAAAGTGATATTTTTGCTCTTCAACACTTTAAAGAGATCTTTTGCAGCAGACTTGCCCAATGCAATATGATGTCTGATTTCTTTTTTTTTTTTTTAAATTTTTATTATGATTTGGGTGAAAGTTTACAGAGCCAATTCATTTTCCATACAGTAAGTTACATATTCTTTGTTTTGTGACATTGACTGCAGTTTCTCACAATGCAACAACTCTCTTCCCACTTCCTCCCCATAGTTACCTCTTCCCTGTGTCCTTCTCTCCCGAGCACTTCTGCTGCCTGAGCTGTCTCTCTGTGCATACACAGCCCTTCCATTCTCCCATGATTGATCTCTCCAAAGAGTATATCTACCTCAGGTAAATGTTCAGCTCATCTGCCTGTCCTGTCCTGGAAGCCACAGGAGTGGGTTCAGTTCCTGACCTGAGGGGTAGCTAGAGGCTATTGCCTCAGGGGTTCTATCAGGCTCTATCAGACCAGCAAAACTGGTCTCTCTTTTTTTTTGTTTTTAATGATTTTGGGTTTTGTTCCACATTGTTCTCCCACTCTATCCAGGATCTCCTACATAGATCTCCCTCCAAGTGGTTGACAGTGATAGCTAGGCACCATGCAGTTCTTCTGGTCTCATAGTCATATAAGCAGAGGATCGTATGGTATACCAGTCCCTTGGACTAATTGTTTTCTTTGGTTTTCTTCATTCTTCTTTGCGCTAGATGAGGAGAGATCATCGTTGCATCTAGATGGCTGCTTGCAAGCTTTGAGATCCCAGTTGCTTCTTGCCAAAATAAGATGTGGAACAATGTTTTTGTGTAGTATGTTATGCCAGTTGAGCTTGATGTCTGCTGTGACTACGGTCCCAAGCCCACCGGTTCAACTACTTGGTCCCTCTGGGTAGCTGGCTGTGGCCAAGAAGTAACTACAACTTTGTCCCTTGTCAGCTCTAGTATATACCTGGAAATTCTTACAGAACATAAAAACACACTTGTAGAAACATTGTCTGCCAACCCTATACATGGTCATGGGCACGCTCCCCGCTGCACAGACATACCTAATCGTTCAGCCTGTCCACCCATCTATCCATCCATATATCAATGTTTGCCTTCACGGACGACGTAGAACTGTATGTGCAAAAGGGTTCATCTTTGTTGTCTGACCTGCAATGCACCTTTCCGTGTCTTCCTCTTCCTTAATGCCATTGTGTTGATCACTCTCATTTGGTACATTGCCCTTCCTTTCACCCAAATCAATACTTGTCTCTACCTATTTAGCACTGTTCCCTCCCCTCCCCTCCCACCCCTGGTAACCAACAAAGAAAATTTCCTTCCATATATAAACCTCTCCTTGACTTTTTACAGTAGTGGACTATTGTCAATACTGTAATTGACTTATTTCACTCAGCATAATGTCCTCCAAGTTCATCCATGTTATGTGGTGTTTTGCAGATTCTACATTATTCTTTAGGGTTGCACAGTATTCCATCATGTGTGTGTACCATAGTTTGGTTAACCATTCTTCTTTTGATGGACACCTAAGTTGTTTCCATCTTTTTGCTATTGTAAATAGGGCTGTGATGAACATGGTGTACATATATCTGTTCTTGTTCTGGCTCTCACTTCTTTAGGCCACATACCTAATAATGAAATGGCTGGGTCAAATGGTATTTCTAATTCCAACTTTTTAAGGAATTGCCATACTGCTTTCCAGAGTGGTTGTATCATTTGACAGTCCCACCAGCAATGCATGAGAGTCCCAATCTCTTCACATCCTAGCCAGCATTTGTTATTGTTGAATTTTGCTACTAGTGCTGCGAGAAGATGGTATCTCATTGTTGTTTTGATTTGCATCTGTCTAATGACTGATGGTCATGAACATTTCTTCATGTTGCCACCTGAATATCCTCTTTGGTGAAGTGTCTATTCATGTCTTCTGCCCATTTTTTAATTGGATTATTTTCTCTTTTTGTTGAGGTGCTAAAGTTTTCTATAAATTTTAGAGATAAGTCCCTTGTCAGATATGTTGTTGCCAAATATTTTATTGCCAATCTGTAGGTTTTCTTTTCACTCTTTTGGAGAAGTCTTGGAAGAATATAAAAATTTAATTTTGAGAAGGTCCCATTCACCTAGTTTATCTTCTGCTGTTTGTTCATTTTGGATTATGCTGGGTGGTCTATTTATGCCATATATCAGGGCCCCTAAATTTGCCCCTAGTTTTTCCTTGAGGAACTTTATAGTTTTAGGTTTCACATTTAAGTCTTTGATCCATCTGGAGTTAGTTTTTGTGTATGGTGTGAGGTACAGATCTTGTTTCATTTTTCTGCAAATGGATATCCGGTTTGCCAGCACCATTTGTTAAACAGGCAATTTCTTCTCCATTTACTGTATTTCGGCCCTTTGATATAAGCCCTAACATCAGCTGACCATAGGTCGACGGATCTATTTCTGGGTTCTCAATTGTATTTCATTGGTCCATGTGTCTGTTGTACAAATACTAGGCAGTTTTGACTACTGTGGCTGGATGGTAGGTTCTGAGATCCAGGAGTGTGAGACCTCCTACTTTGTTCTTCTTCTTCAATAGTGCTTTGCTTATCTGAGGTCTTGCCATATAAAGTTAGTGACTGTTTTTTCCATATCCTTAAAGAAAGTTAATGGGATCTGGATTGGGATTTCATTGAATGTATAGATTGCTTTGTGTAGAACTGACATTTTCACAATGTTCAATTGCTAAAGGGGCAAGGAGGCCACATCTCCTGACTTCCTAACCCCACAAGAGGAAGACAGAATGACCATCAGTAGCCCAAGGCCTATTCCTGCGAGGCCAGACATACCGCCTCCCTCCAGCCCTTTCACCAACCCTGACACCAACCGTTCCTCCCATAGCACTTACCACCTTTCTTCTGGGTTCGATAATTCACTGCTGTGGCCACACAGAACTCACAGATTATGGGGTTTATTAGGGAAGCACCAGGCTACAAATTCAAGTTCAGGAAAAACGCTCAGTCTCTCTCCCAGTCTGCTGTCTCTCAGCCAACAGTTTCTCACAGTCTCTCTCCCAGCAGTGCGTGTCCCTCGGTGTCTTTCTCAGCAATGCGTGTCTCTTGCATCTCTTTTCCCAGCAGCGCGTGTCTCTCAGGAGCGCGTCCTTCCTCAGCCAGCAGTCAGAGAGAGACCTCTGCCTCTAGGAGACCTTCTTTTGAACCTGGCAGAGTGGCGAAACTAACCAATCATAACATTAGAATTCTAAGCACCTGAGAGGGAGTGAACTTCCCAGAACATTGCTGTGCCATGTCCAACAGAAATACCCCAGGTGGATAACTTTTACAATCAGGAGCTCCTCAGTTGCTCACAGCAAATTTCACCATGGAGTTTACAAAGACTTATGGGTAGAAAAGCCACACTAAGAAATTTACTGCAATCTTCCTATCCACGAGCATGGGATGTTCTTCCATTTATGTAGATCTCTTATGGTTTCTTGAAGTAGTCTTTTGTAGTTTTCTTTATACAGATCTTTTGTGTCCCTGGTAAGCTTTATTCCCCAGTATTTTATTTTTTTGGTAGCTATTGTAATTTATATCGATTTCCTTTTCAACAATCTCTTTGCTGGTGTAGAGGAATCCAACTGATTTTTGGATGTTGATCTTGTATTCTGCCATAATGCTAAATCTCTCAATTAGTTCCAGTAGATATTTTACTAAGTCTCTTGGGTTTTCTAGGTATAGGATCATATCAGCAAATAGGGATAGTTTGAGTTCTTCCTTACCAATCTAGATGCCTTTGATTTTCCTTTCTTGCCTTATTGCTCTGGCTAGGACTTCCAATATAATGTTGAATAGAAGTGATGATAGAGGGCATCTTTGTCTGGTTCCTGTTTACAAGGGGAATGGTTTCAGTCTCTCTCTACTGAGAGTATGTTGGCTGTTGATTTTGCATATATGCCCTTTATTATGTTGAGGAATGTTCCTTCTGACATCTGATTTCTTAACTGTTGCTTCCCTGGGTGTTGACTGTGTATCCAAGTAAAATGAAATCTTTGACAACTTCAGTCTTTTCTCCATTTATCATGATGTTACTTATTGGTCCTGTTGTGAGGACTTTTGTTTTCTTCATGTTGAGGTGTAATTCATACTGATTACACCTCAGTAATCCCAGAGGAGTCTCCAAAGTTTATAATAGTAATGATGATGATGATGATGATTGACATCTATGGAGTCCACACTATGTCTTAGGGCTTATGATAAGCACTTTACATGTATTTTCTCATCTAACCAGGGGCAGATCACCCAATAAGTCATTTAACCATGGCCTTATTTGTGCTTACTTACTAATCTGTAGTGAAGTTTCTTATGTTTTTCACCGCAGAAAAGATGAAACTGTTCACTGCAGATTAGTAAGTAAGCTCAAGTAAGCCTGTGCTTACCTTGTTCCTGGCAGGGATTTAAATTTGAAAGGAGCCTTGATTCTGTAGGAAGGTGCTGTGGAGTTGGGAGAGAGACAGATGATAGTCATACCTAGAAGCAGAATCTGATGCGCTGAAAAAAATGTGAAATTGTTCACTACAGATTAGTAACTAAGCACAAGTAATCTGTGCTTGCCTTGCTTGTTGAGTAATTCATCCATGTGATCTAAGCTTCAATAATCCTATTAATTTCATTTCATAGATAAGGAAAATGAGGTCATTTACCTAAGGATTTGAACCCGATCTATCTGAGCTTAAAGCCCATGCTCCTGTGACTATATTACAGATGGCTCCTGCCTCTCTCTTTATGGGTCTGTTGTCAATAATCAGAGCAGCTTGGGGTATCCTTCCCCCACCCACCCCTTTTGTTGGTTGCACCAGTTTTCTAGGGGTTAATGGGAAACCTAAGGGGTCTCCTTGCCCCAGAGAGGTTCCTTGCAGATTTGAAATGGAGAAAGGGCTCTTTCCTCATGCCAGTCCCTGAGAAGCCCCAAGGACTAGGCCCTCCAAGGTTCCCCCAGACAGGGAGCCCAACTGTGTGGGCTGAATAGAGGTGGGCGTGGTAGGGGCAACATTAGCTCCAGCACGGGTTGGGAACATAACCACTGACTGAGGACAGGAGGCCAGTGTTGATGCTTGGAGCCCTGGAGCTCAGCTGACCTCTTGGGGCATCCATGGGACCCCTGCAGAGGCAGTAGTGAGGCACTGGGCAGGCTGATGCATGAGCCACCCATGTTTATAGTCAGAGTTCTGGGTCCTCTGGGAGTGCTGCAGCCTCAGCCAAAGCAATTTCTCTGTGTTCTGCTCTGGACCTCAGCAGTAGCCTAATGTCCCATCCAACTGGGCCCAATCCTCAGGTCCAAGCAAGCGGTGGGCAGGTACACGAGCAGACACTGTCCTCTGAGCCACATGCATTACCTGATGTGGGTGCCATGAACAGGGTGAGCAAATGGGCATTTGATAGGCATCTAGGGAGAAGCTGGGGAGTTGGAAGAGGATCGCTGCATCTTTTCACCTTTTCCAAGTTGCAGAGCCCTCAAAAGCCTGGGATTTCAGAAAGAGGTTCCCTCAGAGTATGTGCACCCATGTTGGCGGGATGTTCCAAACTACTTACTACCAGCTCTCCACCTGCCTAACTACCCCACCCCACTTCCACCCTCCCAGTAAGCCTACACAGGCACCCCACCCACACACAAAACAAACACAACACATCCCTGTGGGCACCTACAGCCTCCCTCCCCAACTTACCCACACCCACAGTCTTCTCTACTCTCCAAAACAGAGTATAGTGGTAGGTGGTAGGGGTGATAGTAGGTTTCAGGGTTGGGGGGACTTCCCTCATTCCTCAGCCATAATCACCGGAAATGCTCACCTTGGGCCCTACCCCCACCTCCTAACAGGTCCTGCGTGTTTACAGGGCTGACACCCCCCACTTCTTGCCTCTGTACCGCCTGCTTTTCGCTTCCTACCCCACCCTTTTTGGTCAGGAACACAGCCAGTTCCTGACAGCTGGCAGAGTGGGTGCTCCTTTGTGTTTGCTTGTGTTTGTGAGTGTACCCTAAATATCCCGCCTGGCCTGGCCACCGGCTTGCTCTTTGGGGACCTTCCTCTCCATCCCAGCCCCAACCACTTCCCCCTTGCAAGGAGTAACCCAGAGGCTGCTCTGCCATCCCGTCAACTATAGCCTGCCCTCCCTCATGGCAGATTCTTGAAGGCTCTCATCCCACGATGACCAGGACCCCGAGCAGAGACCCGAACCAAGGAAAACTCTTCTTTTCTCCAGTCGAGTAGTGTGGATTTGTCAAGTCCATTAGAAAAGATGATCAGGGTGGGCTCACCCTGCCAATGGGTTGTTTTGTTTACAGTCAGCATTGATTTTCAACAAGTCCTCGGGCTGACTGGTTGTTCTGGAGCTGTCCTTCAGTAAATGGTTATTAGTTTCGACTTCACAGGACAGAGAGAGGAAAACACTTGGCCTTTGTGCTGCTGAACTCAATCAGAATAAACAGGGCAGGAGGGGAGGGTCGGCTGGGCTGGTTCTAACCTGAGGAGCCTTGCCCTCAACTCCTCACAGTCTTGCTTTGACACCACAGGGCTAACAACCGACCCAGCAACATGCTACTTTTAAAATAACTGCAGAAAAAATTCCACTTTTATGGAACATTGGCAGAGGTGGGAGGGGGAGCCTTACTCCTCTTCTTGTTCCTGTGCACAGCTAACCCTGAGGCCTCATGATAAGTGTTAAAATAACCAAAAAACCAAACTCACTGCCGTGGAGTTGAAGTCAAACCCGACTCATAGCAACCCCTCCTTGGGTTTCTGAGACAGTATCTCTATGAAAGTAGATTACCCAACCTTCCTTCCAAGGAGTGGCTGGTAGGTTTGAACCTCCAGCCTTCTGGTTAGCAGTCAAATGCCTTAGCCACTATGTTACCAGAGCTCCTAGTGTTAATTTTGTACCACTGTTGACACTCTTGCTCCTTGTTCCCTGGAGTGATGGCATTTGATGCTGAATCAGGCTCCATATTTCTTGCTGGCAGGAACCATATCTCTCCTTGTTGGTTTCTTCTTGATTTTTGCTGTTATTCTACTGATTCCTACAATTTACCCCTGCTTACTTCTTTATCCTTTCTGTTCCTTTTTATTATACAAGGAATGCATAATTGTAATGGAAAAACTAGAAAATACAGATAGGCAAAAAGAAAATAATAACTTTAAAAATCAATCGAAATCCCATCACTTAGAGAACCACTGTTAACTTTCTGCTGAATAGTATCCTCCCAGAGTTTTTCTCATGAAAAAAAAAAAAAAAAAATATATATATATACAGTCAAATGTATATTATGAAAATGGGATAATATACAGACTAGCATTCTGTAACCTGTTCTTCTTACTTAGAAATATGCTGTGAATGGTGTCTCACCCTGGTGGTTCTTATCGTGTAGGACTCAACACCCTCCTAGACACTTCTATTGACTTTTGTTGTTGTTGTTGCTAACATTGATCTCTTGGATTCTCTTGTTTCTTGCCCTCCACCCCCTCATCCTTTGGAAGGCATTGGTCTGGCATCTGTGGTCATTGAGTCCTACCTGAATGTCTACTACATCATTATCCTTGCCTGGGCTCTTTTCTACCTATTCAGCTCCTTCACCTCTGAACTGCCCTGGACAACCTGCGCCAATTCCTGGAACACAGGTATCCATTGATTCAGCCCCTTGGGGCTCGGCTGATATTGGCTGGGAACAACCAAACAACGAAGAAGCACATAACAGGACTGGCCCTGAAGCCAAGCCATGTGGGCTCTGGTACCAGCTCTGCTGGTTGACCCTTCTGTAGGATCTTCGACCAGCCACTAGGAGGTTGTGAAACCCGGCAGAACCACAGTTACACTAATGCAAGCGGTTATCATTGCTCACTTGTTCATTCATTTAACACATGTTTACTGAGCACCTACTATGTGCCAAGCACTGTGTTGGAGATCCAAGGGTGAGCAAGGGCAATATGGACCCTGCCTTCAAGGAGCTTGCAGTCTAGTGGTAGAAATAGGCAAAACAATGATAAATTGTGATGAGTAAAAGAAACAAGAGTACAGTAACTATAAAACAATGGAAGGAAAAAATTATTTAGACAGGTTGTGAGAGATGGCCACTCAGAGAAGGTGCTATATGGGGGTTGAAAGAATAAAAGACGCTCAAAATGTGAATAGCATTCTAGGCAGGGGAAGTGCAGGCACAAAGCATCAGTTGCTTAGTCTGTAGAATAGACAGACAGGGATGGATGGGGAAATTAGGCAAGTGTGTGGCAATTTGCATGGGGGCAGATTGGATCTGAGGTTTGAATTGTTTCGGAGGTTACGGAGTGGTCAGAAGAGCAGCCAGGTTCAAGGTGACCAAGAGCTGTGCAATGCACATGGGAGGCAAACTGGTTCCATAAACTGCTGTAGCAGTCAACTCCTATCACTCTGGAAAATAGGTCTCCCAAAGGAAGCCCCTACAGGTACATGTGAGGGTACAGGTAGACTTATGTGAGAATACAGGTGGACACATGTGTGTGTGTGTGGGGGGGTGGATGTGAAGGTGTAAGTAGTCATGTGGGGGAGAGAGGATGTGGAAACTACCAGGCTGCAAGGACAAAAGTTTGGAGGGGCACTAAGATGACCTTGCTCCTAGCTGATGCATGCCTTGCTTCTCCTTATCCCCAACAGAGCACTGCATGGACTTTCTGAACCACTCAGAAGCCAGCACAACAGTGTCGTCCTCTGAAAACTTCACCTCACCTGTCATGGAATTCTGGGAGTAGGTGCTGGGCCCAGGTGCCAAATACTAGGGTGGCCCAAGCGGAAGGAATTTGGATGTCTGAGCCCTGGGACTTGGAGTGCAAGTTTAATACTCTTTGTGCAAGCATTTCAGCACTTACCTACCACCCATGCCCCTACCCTACCTTACACATCACTTACAGATGAGTGAAAACTCACATATATCTACTCTCATCTCCTGTACTTTCATCCTGACCTTAAACCTGCATGTGTCCACCTAGGCTGACACATTTATCCATTGATGTCCACTTATGTTCATACTCACATGTGTCTATCTTCACTGTCAAGTCCACCCCCTTCCACACTCATTTACCCACAACTGTCCAGTGGTATGTTGGAAACAGTCTTTGTTGGTGAAAGAGAGCTGATCAGGCACATCTCTTCCTGACTCTGTGCTCAGTCATATCATGTTGGTAGCTTGAAATCAGCTGAGATGGGAGTATTTACACCACAGAAACTGATAAATCTTCTCACACATCCCCTGCTCCCCACGTTTATATCCACCCACACAAATCCACCTGTATTCTCACATAAGTCTACCTATACCCTCATACTTAACTAAAACTCATACACATTCACCTTCACTGGCACATGTCTACTGTACCCTCATATCCATACTCATTCACCCACACATATCCGCCTACACTCACACATGTAAACCCTCACAGGTACCCAAACCTCACACACGTCACACAATCTTATAAGCACACACACACGTTTCCATCATCCCGTACTAACAGACATTCAGCCCCTCCATTTGATGCCCATATACTTGCTCATCAGCATGCCCATGTAAATATGCACTCTTCATACATTCATTCATGTATTCCCACCACGCTCACCATCTCTTTGTCTATCTCTCTGTGCAACAGAGACATTTGAATGAGTTAGAAAAACAAAGATACCTATGGGATTACCGAGGTTTAGTCCTCTAACAGCCAGGGTTATTCAGACCACAGGTGGGAACCTGGCATAGCCACGAAGGGAGGTGAGGTAAGGAAGGGAGTGTGGAAAGCCCTGGAGTATGAGATCTGGGGGGTCAGCTCTAAGAATCAAGAGACTTGGTGACAGAGGCAAGTTGTCCCCTTTAGCCTCTCACTGGTTATTCGTTTTTTCCAACCGCTCAGGAGACGGGTCCTGGGCATCACCTCGGGCATCCATGACCTGGGGGCCCTGCGCTGGGAGCTGGCTCTGTGCCTCCTGCTTGCCTGGATCATCTGCTACTTCTGCATCTGGAAGGGGGTCAAGTCCACAGGCAAGGTGAGGTATCTCCTTGTAAGCTCTCTGTAGCCCCCAGAGTCCATGAGGACACTCACTGGGGTCTCTCTGGAGAACTGAAAGTGAGAGTAGTTTAGGGGAGAATATGGTGAACATAGAGGAGTCATAGGAAGGTAGAGTTTAGCTCAATACAAGGAAGTGCTTTCTTTGCAGTATGACTCTGCAAAGTAATACATAGTAATAGAGCAAATGATAAACATAAAAGTCACACATTCCCACTTGTCAGAGCTGATTACTGTACAAGCCATCCTAGTGGTGGCAGGTCAAATCTGCTCATCCCTGTTAGCTTTTTGCTGTATTGCCTTCTAGTTTCTTTGATATCTGTGTGTGTCTATTTATATCTGAATCTGTGTCTATATGCATTATGTGTGTATGTTATACATGCACTCATGTGACTTGCTTTTGGTATTTAATAATACATCCAGACCATTTTTAGTATAAACTACCAAACAGAACTGTCTTTGAGGTGGTGAGTTCTGTGTCATTGAAGGGATTCTCGCCAAGGATAGACAACAATTGGTTTGTTGTACACAGAAAATTCAGATTTAAACATTATTTCTAACCCAGATAGTTTGAGACTGATGCTTCGTGCTTTTGAAAGCTGGGAGTGGGCAGGGTCCTGACTTGTCTGGGTAGCCATCCCTCCAGGCTGTTTCTGCAGTAGCCTCCCCTTTCCCTGAATTGTGCTAATAATAGTAATAGTGACACCAGGGCTTCGAACCAATTCATTCCGGTTTGACAATTTGCATTTCCACCCCAGATATATTTACAGTATTTACATTTTAACAAATTCTCAGGTCATCCTTATAAATCCCCTTATGCATACATAAGAATCACCTAGGGATCTTGTCAAAATATAGTCACAATACAAACAGTAATAATAATAATAACAGACTGTGCCTCTACCTTGGGTAAGGAGTTGAACTTGGTCAGGGCAGAGTGGGACACCCTCTGTGTGTCTCCAGGATGCCAGGACACCCATGTTTGCCAGAGTTCCGGCCACTGCTCTCTGCTAACCTTCAGCCTGGAAAAGTACAGTCTAAATTTCTCCATAGATCATTGTACAAATCTGGTCACCCTAGGGGGTGTTCCACCCTCACCGTGGGTATGGGGAGAACAGCCAGGGTAAGAGATTAAAGGAGACCAGCCTCTGGATTTAAAAATAGTCTTTGAATGTCATGGACTGGAAACTTGCCCCCCTCCTCCTTCCTCCTCCCCCCTCCCCAGCTGATGAGTATCTCACACTTGGCTCTGTTGGGAGCATGAGCCCCACTGGAATGTGTAAAGGAAGGTGTGGAGAGTTTCACATGCTCACCTGCTCTTGGACTCTCTGAACTATCAGACACTGTGAGCTGGGAGTGGCTTGTGCTGCCAGAGAAGGGGTGACAGGAAGACCACTGGAGACTCCCTTTCAGCTCCTGGCTGCTATATCCCCACCAAGAGTGACTTTGGCTGGGTTTCTCTCCAGGTTGTTTATTTCACAGCCACGTTTCCCTACCTGATGTTGATTATCTTACTGATCCGAGGCATCACCCTTCCTGGAGCCTACAAGGGCATTGTCTATTATCTGAAGCCAGATTTGTTTCGCCTCAAGGACCCCCAGGTAGGTACCATGTGAGGACCGTTTCCCCAGATATCTCCCACCCCAAAACCAGACCTGGACTTTTGAAAGTCTTTTAGTGCCTTTCTGTTGGTTTAAAAGAAATACCTGTTGATATCTCCATTGTAGAAAAAGTAGATAACATAGAAGAAAATTGCAAAAAAGGAACTAAAAATCTCTTGTAATCTCACCACTCAGATATAATCTCTGTTATCATTTCAGTATCTTTCCTTCCAACTTCTTTTCTAGGTGGTGTGTGTGCATTTTACTATAGTTGAGATAATTACATATAGAGAGACATAACAGAGTTTTGTATCCTTTTTTCACTTAAATATTATCCTAAGCCTTTTCTACAGTATTAAATTCATTTGTAAATGTTGTGTTTACACTTGCACATTATTTCCTCTATCCATCATTCATTCATTCAGCAAAAATGCACAGAGAACCCATTAAGTACCAGGTACTGGTAGCTTAGTGCCTAAGACATTTGACTGCTAACCAGAAGGCTGGTGGTTCAAACCCACCAGCCACTCCTCAGAAGGAAGGTTGGGCAATCTACTTCCATAGTGATACTGCCTCAGAAACCCAAGGAGGGGTTGCTCTGAGTCAGGTCCAACTCCATGGCACATAACAACAACAACAACAACTGTTCCAGTGGAAGTCCCTGTGTGATGTAAACTATTAACCTGCTTGGCTGCTAACCAAAAGTTGGTGGTTCAAGTCCACCTAAAGGTGCCTTGGAAGAAAGTCCTGGCAATCTACTTCCACAAAGTCAGCCATTGAAAACCCTATGAAGCACAGTTCTACTCTGACACACATGGGATCACCATGAGTTGGAATCAACTCAACAGCAACAGGTAAACTGGTCCTGTTTTAGTGTCAGAGATAGGGCAGTGAACAAGACAGACCTTGTGCCCAGCCCTCGTGGAGCTCATACCATAGTGGAGATGACATCATTTAACTTCCTCCTGTTCCTGGACATTTAGGTGATCTGTGTCTTTCCACTATTTTAAATACAATTGCAGTGAACACCTTGCATGTAAGTCTTTGGCTACATCTCTGATTATTTGCTGATTGTAGTTAGAACTGGAACTACTAAGTCAAAGGATATGCATGGTTTCATGTTCTCAATACATACCAATTTTACAGAAATGTAGACTTTCATCATCTGTGTTTAAGGGTAAATTTCTTTCTGGAAGGCCCTTGCTAGATTCAATTATAATTTATTTTAATCTTTGATAATTTTATAGGCCAAAGTTCACATCATTTAGTTATTTTAATTTTATTGCTTTGACTCCTGGTAAGATTGGACATTTTCCCATAGAATTATTCACCAGTTGTATTTCCTTTCCTAGGACTTGTCTGATCGAATTCTTTGTTCTTCTTTTGAAGTCTTTGTGCTTTCCTCTCTATGTTTTAATGATGGTGCCTCTTTGCCCCCAGGTCATGGTCATAGCTGCCTGAGGTACACTGTGCTAGTTGAATAACTGGTAGTGGTGACTGTCTTAGCTTGTCCTGCAAATAGTTTTCAGATATCTCTGGGTGCCTGTATTTGTTGCTTTCTGAGTGCTTACAAGGAGCCCTGGTGGCACAATGGTTAAGCACTAATCAAAAGGTCGGTGGTTTGCACCCACCAACCACCCCATGGGAGAAAAGACTTGGCAATCTGCTGTCATAAAGATTTCCAAGGTGTTCCCGGCACTGGTGGCAAAGTTCAACAAGACAGAAAATAACAAATGCTGGTGGGAATGTGGATAGATTGGGACTCTCATACACTGCTGGTGGGACTGTGAAGTGATACAACCACTGTGGAAAGCAATATGGTGATTCCTTAGAAAGCTGGAATTGGCGATACCATTTGACCCACCAATCCCATTACTAGGTATATATCCTAGAGAGGTGAGAGCCGGGACAGAAACAGATATGTGCACACTCATGTTCATTGCAGCACTATTTACAATAACAAAAAGATGGAAACAACCTATGTGTCCATCAGTGGAAGAGTGGATGGCCAAACTATGATACATACACATAATGAAATGCTATGCAGCACTAAAGAATAATGTAGAGTCTGCAAAACACCACACAATATGGATGAACTTGGAGGACATTATGCTGAGTGAAATAAGTCAATCACAGAAGGACAAATATAGTATTAATTTGTTTTTGTGGAGGGTCAAGGAAAGGTTTATATATGGAGGGAAACTTTCTTTGTTGGTTGCCAGGGGTGGGATGGGAGGGGAGGGGAGGGAACACTGCAAAAAAAAAAAAAAAAAAGACTCATGTCACTTGAGTTTTGTTATTTCACTGTACATAAATTATAATTCAATAAAATACAGAAAAAAAAAAAAAAAAAGATTTCCGAGGTGGTATCACTATGGAAGCAGATTGCCCAACCTTCCTTCCGAGGAATGGTTGGTAGGTTTGAACCACCAGCCTTCTGGTTAGCAGTCAAATACCTTAGGCACTACACCACCAGAGCTCTTGTCATAAAGATTACTCCTAAGAAACTCTATGGGGCAGTTCTACTCTGTTATATAGGGTTGCTATGAGTCAGGATCGACTCAATGGCACACAACAATAACAAAGTGCCTGTAAGAGTCCCTGGGTGAAGTAAATGGTTAATGTGCTCAGCCACTAACTGAAAAGTTGGAGATTCCACCCAGAGGGGCCTAGGAATAGAGGCCTGGTGATCTACTTCCGAAAAATCAGAAACTCCACAGAGCACAATTCTACTCTGACACACATGGGGTCACCAGGAGTCGGAATCCACTCAACCCGACTGAATAGGGACTGGTTAACTGCCTAGAGAAACAGAATTAAAAATGGTCCCTCCTGGGAGGAGATCACTATCTAGACAGGAGGATGACAAGTTAATGGGTGAATGTTGAGGTCTAGATGTGAAGGTCTAAGGGAACCCCAAGGGGACGAGGTTGATGCTATGGGGTGGTGTGTCTGAGTCTCTGGTCACCCCTTCCCTGAGGTGCCAGGCTTCAGTGGGTTCTTGCCTACCCTCCTTCTACCATTTCTTGGGGTCTCATGTAGGTGTGGATGGACGCAGGCACCCAGATCTTCTTCTCCTTTGCCATCTGCCAGGGGTGTCTGACAGCCCTGGGCAGTTACAACAAGTACCACAACAACTGCTACAGGTAAGGAGTTGGGTGGCTGTGGTGACCCTGGCCTCTCTATGACCTAGGTAGGGCAGGAGTGCTTGGGGATGGGTGCCCAACACCCAGTCCCTGGGCCCAGGCCCCCTTTGTTTATTATCAGAGCATCGCAAGCTGTGTCAAACTCACATTCTGGGTTCTTTTCCCAGACTGAGTTTCTCCCTCCCTCCCTTTCTCTCTCCCTTCACTCTCCTCACCTTCTGATACCTGATCTGTGTCTTTGTCTTTCCTTGTCTCTTCCCATTCTTCCCCCATTTCTCTTTTCTGTGCTTCTTTTACCTTTTCCCCTTCTCCCTCCTCTTTACCCTCTTACTGTCTTTTGGCCTCTCCTTCCACGATTGATTTCTTTCTCTCATTCCCTTCTTTCCGTTTTATCCACAGGGACTGCATCGCCCTCTGCTTCCTCAACAGTGCCACCAGCTTTGTGGCCGGGTTTGTCGTCTTCTCCATCCTGGGCTTCATGTCTCAGGAACAAGGGATGCCCATTTCTGAAGTGGCCGAGTCAGGTAGGTGCCACTTTGCTATCTGAAACCTCAGGAGAAGATCAGAGAATACAGTTCCTTTCTCTAGAAAGGCATGAGTCCCAGAAGCTGGGTCACTGAAACTTCTATCATGGGGGCAATCTCTGGGAACAAACAGGGGCTCCATGAGCATGGGAGGGAGGGAGGAGGGGAGAGAAAGCAGGATGGATGGTCGATAGCTGTGTGCACGGATGGGTAGGTGAAGAGATGAATGAATAATGGGTTTCCCGGAACCTGGGAAGAGCAGGATAATGGATGGAATCACTGTGACCTCTTGAATCTTACACACACACATACACACACACACAGTGCTTGGAGAAAGGGCTCTCACCTGAAGGCAGGAGTGCCTTGGAGCTCACCTGATTGTGCTGTGTGCCTGGCAGGTCCTGGTCTGGCCTTCATCGCATTTCCCAAAGCTGTAACTATGATGCCCTTATCCCAGCTCTGGTCCTGCCTTTTCTTCATCATGCTCATATTCCTAGGGCTGGACAGCCAGGTACGTCGTCATGCCCCATCTGCCCCACCTGACCTACCTCAGCCTTGCCCTGGTGACTCTCTTCCCAGCATCTCCATTTCCTACCATTATTTCCCCATCCTTTTCTCCTGTTTGTAAATTCCAAGGCCCCCTCTGCTGTCCAGGCTGGTGGTGACCCCAGACCTCCAGACCCTCTTCTGTGAGGGAGACACCTGCTTTGTTCCTATAACTTTAACCCTTCCCCACACATCGATGCCCCTCCCAAAGGCTCCGTCAGTCTCCTTCCACACCTCCCACTGTCTGCTCAGCTCAAGCCACTACTTTGTCACCCCTTGGTGACAGAACTTTATACTTCCTCTGTACTCACTGTGTAGATGTGCCCAAGGTCAGGCTGGCCTCACCCTAGACCCTCTCCTCCTCCTAGTTTCTGCCCTCTGCACCCCGCCCCCCGCACTCCTGTGTGTCAGTAGATGAATCTGAATGAGAAGAGACCAGAGTAGGGTTGAGGAGAGCGAGGGCCCAAGGGCAGGCATGAGCATCTATCCTCACATCCCTCTTATCCCCCACTCCCCTCCTGCCCACAGTTTGTCTGTGTGGAGTGCCTGGTGACGGCCTCCATAGACATGTTCCCCAGGCAGCTGCGGAAGAGCAGACGGCGTGAGTTCCTCATCCTCGCCATCGCGGTGGTGTGTTACCTGATAGGGCTCTTCCTGGTCACTGAGGTGAGCTGCTGGGGAGCCTACAAGCTGGGCTCCAGGGCATGAGAGCCATGGGGGACAGGGCCCTGACCAGGGTCCCCATACTGACCCAGCAGAGCCACATCTAGCATCTGCTAGATGCGGAGTGTTGACACCTGTCTGCCTCTCTCACAGCAAAGTTGTAGGGACCACTGATGACATATACCTGCATTAGGTAGGTCTCATTTGATTGTAAGTGACAGAAACGAAATGCAACCTGGCTTATGCAGAAGAGGGGATTGACTGGGCCAGGTAACTGATGAAAAGCCTAGAGAGATTTTGGTTTCAGGCACGATTAGATCCACCTGCTCTAATGACATTGTCGGGAATGTGACTCCTTGTCTTCTGACTCCCCTTTCCTCTGGAACTTCATTCCCAAGCAGATTTTCCTCCTGTAGGAGAGAGGGTGTATGCAGTTCCAGGCCTACTTTCTGCTGTCTAATCAACCCCAGAGGAAAGAGGGGGCCTTTTCCTGAGAGTGCAAGCCAGTGTCCAGTCTATGACTCTTACTCTGGCCTGGAGCAGAGACATTTCAATATAAAGGGAACATGTGTAGAGTGACATGGTGCCAATTTCCTAGAGATGGGATGCTGGTCAGACAGACAACCAATGCCCAGCACAGCCCCTAATTTCTGCAGGGGTCAGAGACTGTTGAGATGATGTTGAGTGAGGGGCCTGCAGGAAGGGACCAGCAGGCAAACTCCTTTTAGATGCAAGGAATGGGCTGCTTCATATATACCTGTATTATACCAAAACCCGCAAAAGCCAGATCTGTGTAAGAAGAGGACCTGTCAGAGAAGGAAAACTCAAAGAAAAGTGGTAAGACTGCACCCTGTGAAAGGCGAAAACTTATGAAACCCAGAAAGACAAGACAGTTCCGTCGAGTTCCAGCTTTCACAGGTTTCACTGTATATACACAACTGTAGAAGTTATTACTCATCCATGCACTGGGCAGAACGGCACTCCAGTGGGTATTTTGCCATCTCTTGAGGGTAGGTGCTCTGGTAGCATAGTGCCTAAGCCATTTGACTGTTAACCAGAAGGCTGGCAGTTCAAACCCACCAGCTACTCCTTGGAAGGACGATTAGGCAATGTACTTCTGTGGTGATACTGCCTCAGAAACCCAAGGAGGGGTCACTGTGAGTCAGATCTGACTCGATGGCAGTGAGTTGGTTTTGGTTTGAGGGTAGGAGCATGCCCTCTCTCCCACACTGGCCGAGGCTTCAGCTCCACTTCCTTCTCCACAGGGTGGGATGTACATCTTCCAGCTGTTTGATTATTATGCATCCAGTGGCATATGCCTGCTCTTCCTGGCAGTGTTTGAAGTTATCTGCATCAGCTGGGTATATGGTAAGTGGGGTGGGAGAGTAGGGTGGGGATGTGGAGGGCGTGGGAGAAGAACCTCTGAGGGCTAGCAAAGAGCAGGATTTTCCCAGGATGAGAGGCAGGTGCTCCAACCTCTGGTTTCTTTGTGTTGCTGTTTTGGGCCTGGTTACTGGGAAGTTAGTCTATCGCTGGGAATGCTGGCATTCTTCATCAGGTAGAGTGCAGTGCAACTATTGTTGTTGTTATGTGCCGTCGAGTCGGCCACGACTCATAGCGACCCCTCCTTGGGTTTCCGAGGCAGTATCGCTACGGAAGTAGGATTGCCCAACCTTCCTTCCGAGGAGTGGCTGGTGGGTTTGAACCGCCAGCCGTCTGGTTAGCAGGCAAGTGTCTTAGCCACTACGCTACCAGAGTGCAACTATTAATACTGGGATAATGAAAAAACTAATTTCCTAGAGTAGCGTAATGATGATAAGAAGAAGATGCGGGAGGCCTTTTACCAGTGGGAAGCTTAGTTAGAGGGGACCTTCAGGGCCCCCTAGTCTGTCTGATCCTCTGCAAGTTCCCGCAGCCCCTTTCCAACAACTAGGTTATCGCCCAGACTTTGCTTGAATACTTCCATGGACAGGAAGTTCACTCCAGTAATTTCGAGATAGCCTTTTCCGTTTTGGTGGTCATGCATGTGTTTCTTATACTGAGCTGAACCAACACTTCCACCAACATCAGATCAACAGCCTTGGCTCCTGCAATGTCAAATGTCATAATATCTGTAATATTATTATGTTCAACAGTAATAAAACCAGTTGCTGCTGATTCAACTCCAACTCATGGTGACCTCATGTGTGTCAGAGTAGAACTGTGCTCTATAACGTTATCAGGGGCTGATTTTTCCAGGCCTTTCTTCCAAGGCACCTCTGGGTAAATTGGACCCTCTAACTTTTTGGTTTGCACCTGAGTGCACAACCATGGGCACCACCCAGGGACTCCTCTGATAACAACAGGGGGAAGAGACCTTTATTTACTGAGCATCAATGATGTGTCAAGCACTGTGCTGATTGTGCCACACACTGTCTCACAATCCACGTGACAGGCCTTTACAGGGAGGAAAATGAGACTAAGAGAGGGTAGGAGACCTCACACAGCTAGTAAGTGGAGGAGCCATCATTGTCCCCCAGGTCTGTCTGGCTCCACTGTACCAGGTTAGGGGAACACAATGCCAGTGTCCCAAGGAGCAGGGCAGAGAGGATAAGTGGGTACCACATCATAGGGCTTAGAGAAATGATGAGCAGATAGGTTTTTATTTTGCTACCCAAAGCAAAAATGGTGCCCTTTCCATTCCTTGGAGATGTCTCCTACCTTCTCACGTCAAGCATCTGATGTCTTTCTGATTTCCTCCTACTCCTTTTCAAACTTGAAGATCTGATAAACTCAATCACAGTCAAGTGTATATGTCTGATAAGCCTTAAGATGTTATACTCACCCAGCAGTATCTGGGTTTTAACTGAGGTTGAATTTAGAAGAAAGAAATGACTCTCTAAAGGTGTGATTTCTTGCTTCAGTGACCAGTGGGAAGGTGTTTGGGGGGGAGAGAGGGGCCTTCCACATGTCTTTACCAATCAATCAGCAGCTCTTTACTTCTTAGATGTCTGACTCTGCCTAGAGCTACAGCAAATATGGAAACCTAAGGACATTAAACAAAAGGAAACCAGCCAATATTTTCATGAATACAAATCAATCTTCTTACCACACTGTATTGGAAACTCAGAGGTAGTTCTTGTAAAGTCTAGAATCTAGCCCTTTGTTCTGCTCCCAGTAGTTTCTAGCCCTATATGAGCTGAATGTGATGTGCTTGAGCAGCGAGACCCTCACTGTTTTGCTTTCTTGACTTGAAACTGATCATCTCTGCTACACAGATAAACAACAAGCATCTATCTAGTTCTGGAACTTCATTTTTGACTCACACCACTTCTCTGTGATGGGGACAGTTGTGGTCTACAGAGGGACAGGGAGGGACACAGGTCTTGCTGGTGGCCCTGCTCCCTCTTATTCCCTGCCCTGTGGCTGGAGTGCCAGGGACCCATTTCAGTCATTGTGCCCTGTTCTCATTTCCTGGTGCAGAATTATGGGGTGGGGAAGAGTCCAAAGCCATGTGAGTCCTTCCCAAATACCCATGAAGCTGTTTTCACACTCCTGTTCTCATACTTCTCCACCCCCCACACCTCATCAGGGGCAGACCGTTTCTATGACAACATTGAGGACATGATTGGCTACCGGCCATGGCCACTGGTGAAGATCTCCTGGCTCTTCGTGACTCCTGGACTTTGCCTGGTAGGTGCTCTCCACGCCCCGTCCCCCGCTCCCCTGGCCCCAGAACTACGTGTTCATTCCCTCTTGCCTCCAGAAGACTCAGGGAGGTACCGAAAAGGATACCTGCATTATGGGGCTCTAGTCTTTGGAGGCTGGTCCTTTCCCTCTTTTTTATTTTTATTTTTGCAGTGTTTCCTCCCCTCCCCTCCCAACCTTGGTAACCAACAAAGAAAGTTTCCTTTCATATATAAACCTTTCCTTGACTTTTTACAATAATGAACCAATACAATATTTGTCCTTCTGTGATTGACTTATTTCACTCAGCATAATGTCCTCCAAGTTCATCCACATTATATGATGTTTTGCAGCTTCTACATTATTCTTTAGTGTTGCATAGTATTCCATTGTGTGTATGTACCCTAGTTTGCCTATCCATTCTTCTGTTGATGGGCACTTAGGTTGTTTCCATCTTTTTGCTGTTATAAATAGTGCTGCGATGAACATGGATGTGCATATATCTGTTCTTGTCCTGGCTCTCACTTCTTTAGGATATATACCTAGTAATGGAATGGCTGGGTCAAATGGCATTTCTAATTCCAACTTTTTAAGGAATTATCATACTGCTTTCCACAGTGGTAGTATCATTTTATAGTCCCACCAGCAGTGTATGAGAGTTCCAGTCTCTCCACATCCTCACCAGCATTTGTTGTTTTCTGTCTTGTTGAACTTTGCTATTAGTGCTGGGGCCACATGGTATTTCATTATTGTTTTGGTTTGCATCTCTCTAATGCCTAATGATCATGAACATTTCTTCATGTGTTTGTTGGCCACCTGAATATCCTCTTTGGTGGTGTCTATTCATGTCTTCTGCCCATTGTTTTAATTGGATTGTTAATCTTTTTCTTCTTGAGGTGTTGGGGTTTTCTATAAATTTTAGAGATAAGTCCCTTGTCAGATATGTCTCTGCCAAATATTTTTTCCCAATCTGTAGGTTCTCTTTTGAAGAAGTCTTTTGAAGCATGCACAAATTTAATTTTGAGAAGGTCCCACTCATCTTGTTTATCTTCTGCTGTTTGTGCATTTTGGGTTATGCTTGACAGTCTATGTATGCCATAATTACAAAAAACAACAAAACTCTCTGTCACTGAGTCAATCCCGACTCATAGCAACCCCTCCTTGCGTTTCCGAGGTAGTATTTCTACGAAAGTAGATTGCCCGATCTTCCTTCCAAGGAGTGGCTGGTGGGTTTGAACCACCAGCCTTCTGGTTAGCAGTCAGATGCCTTAGGCATACGGGCTCCTAAATTTGCCCCTATTTTTTCCTTGAGGAACTTTATAGTTTTAGGTTTCACATTGAAGTCTCTGATCCATCTGGAGTTAGTTTTTGTGTATGGTGTGAAGTACAGATCTTGTTTCATTTTTCTGCAAATGGATATGCAGTTTTGCCAGCACCATTTGTTAAAGAGACCCTGTAATGGATTTCAGCCCTGTGTGAAAAATCAGCTGATCATAGGTCGATGGATCTATTTCTGGGTTCTCAATTCTGTTCCACTGGTCTGTGTGTCTGTCGTTGGACCAATACCAGGCTGTTTTGACTACTGTGGCTGTGCAGTAGGTTTTGAGATCTGGGAGTGTGAGACCTCCTCCTTTGTTCTTCTTCAATAGTGCTTTGCTCATCTGAAGTTTCTTTCCTTTTCATATAAAATTAGTGATTGGTTTTTCCATATCCTTAAAGAATGTTGATGGGATCTGGATTGGGATTGCCTTGAATGTATAGATTGCTTTGGGTAGTATTGACAGTTTCACATTGTTCAATCTTCCTATCCATGAATGTGGTATGTTCTTCCATTTATGTAGATCTCTTATGGTTTCTTGAAGGAGTGTTTTGCAGTTTTCTTTGTATAGGTCTTCTGTATCTCTAGTGAGATTTATTCCCAAGTATTTTATTTTTTGGTAGCTATTGTAAATGGCGGTTCAAACCCACCAGCGACTCCTCAGAAAGAAGATTGGGCAATCTACTTCCGTAGAGATACCACCTCGGAAACCCAAGGAGGGGTCGCTATGAGTCAAATCAACTTGACAGCAGTGAGTATTTTAAATGGTATTGATTTCCCTATTTCCTTTTCAGCTAACTTTTTGCTGGTGTAGAGGAATCCAACTGATTTTTGTATGTTGATCTTGTATACCTTCACTATGCTAAATCTCTCAATTAGTTCCAGTAGTATTTTTGCTGAATCTCTTGAATTTTCTATGTATAGCGTCATATCATCAGCAAATAGAGATAGTTTGACTTCTTCCTTACCAATTTTGGTGCCTTTGATTTCCCTTTCTTGCCTTATTGCCCTGGCTAGGACTTCCAATACAATGTTGAATAGAAGTGGTGATAGAGGGCATCCTTGTCTGTTTCCTGTTTGCAAAGGGAATGGTTTCAGTCTCACTCCATTGAGATTAATGTTGGCTGTTGGTTTTGCATATATGCCCTTTATTATGCTGAAGAATTTCCCATTTTTTAGGGAAAAATAGGAATTTCTATTCCTATTTTTCTGAGAGTTTTGGTCAGGAATGGGTGTGGAATTTTATCAAATGCCTTTTGTGCATCGATTGATATGATCATGTGGTTCTTTTCCTTTGTTTTATTTATGTGATGGATGACATTGATTGTTTTTCTAATGTTGAACTGTCCTTGCACACCTTGTATGAACCCCACTTGGTCATAATGTATTATTTTTTTTTGATATTTTGTTGGAGTCTATTGGTTAGGATTTTGTTGAAGATTTTTGCATCTATATTCATGAGGGATATTGGTCTGTAATTTTCCTTTTTAGTGATGTCTTTGCCTATTTTGGTATCAGGGTTATGCTTGCTTCATAAAATGAATTTGGGAGGATTCCATCCTTTTCTATGTTCTGGAATAGTTTGAGTAGGATTGGTGGCAGTTGTTCTCTGAACATTCAGTGAAACCCTCTGGGCCAGGGTTTTATTTTTGTTGTTGGTAATTTTTTTATGACCTGTTCAATTTCTTCTTTTGTTATGGGTCTATTCAAAATTTCCACCCCAGCTTGTGTTAGTTTAGGTAAGTAGTATGTTTCTAGAAACCTGTCCATTTCTCCTGGGCCCTTCTCTCTTATGAACTTGTCCTTCTGCCCTTGTCCTCTGGGGCTGTGTCATCCATCTGTTTGCTTTACTGTCATTATGATCTATTCCAGTTCCTGCTCCATCCCTTTCTCAACGTACTTCATCCCATCTGCCTGATTTCCCAATTACTGCTCTCTTCCTGTCTATCTTCTTAAGCTTCTCCATTCCCCTTCTCTTCCCTTATGTCTCCTCCTGTCTCAGTCCTTGATGTGAGTGATGTCTTGGCCCATGATTTGCAATGGCTTTTGTTATTCTATCTTATAGATGGACTACAGTGTATATAATTTGTCCTCTGTCCTGGATATTTAAGTAGCTGAGGAGAGGATGTTATGGACCTTTATCTTACCCATGTCTGCCCTTTCCTCTTTCCAGGCCACTTTCCTCTTCTCCTTGAGCAAGTACACACCTCTCAAATACAATAATATCTACGTGTACCCTCCCTGGGGATACTCCATTGGTTGGTTCTTGGCTCTCTCTTCCATGATATGTGTCCCACTCTTCATCATCATCACCCTCCTGAAGACCCGTGGTTCTTTCAAGAAGGTAGGTGGCTAGGGGAGATGATTACTGAGAGAAGTTGGACTTAGGGCAGGACCCACAGCTGGGGCCCAAGGATCAAATACATACTCTGAGTGTGGAGCAGCCCTTTGGTCTCATGGAATTCTTAAGGGAGAAGAGTCTTGAAGACCAGCCAATGGCTTTACTTTTTAGGAATGTTCAAAGTCCTAGAGTCTTAGACCTGAAGAACTAGAAGGTACTCAGCAGATTATCTGGGCAGGCAAAACAGAGTAAAGTGTCAAAGCGTTAGGGGAAAACTAAATCACAAGTAAGAACATAAAGTACCCAAACATAGACTACTTCCTTTTGGGAAACTGATAAGCAACCATTATATTTTATTCCCTAAATAGGCTGCTGTCTTCTTTTCTTACCTTAACCCTGGCTAGGGAACCATATGCAAAAGGTTCCCTGTTTAGAGTTTGGAACATTCCTTCCTGGAAAGAGCTGTAGCCTGTGTCCCATAAAGACATTGCATCTGTAGAATCTATTTGGCTACAAACAGCAGAAAACCCAATCTTCAATGGTTTAAGCAAATAAGTTTATCTCTCTCTTTTTTTTTTTCTCCCTCTTTCTCACATATCAAGAGGGCCAGAGATGGGGACTGCTGCCATTTAATTCAGTTGCTTATAGAGGCCATTAAGGACCAGACTCTTCCTGTATTTCTGCACTTCCACTCTGAGTATATTGGCTTTTCACTATCATGCTTTACACCTCATAGTTACAAGATGGCTGTCTTAGTTCCAGTCATCACATCTGCATTCAAAGTAGAAAAAGGGGTAGGGAAAATTCTACCAGCCATATCTGTGCTTTTGACATAAAAGCTTTCCCAAGAGTCCCCAGCAGAATTCTGATTATATCTCATTGCCCGGGGAAGCTGGAGAAAGTGAAAGTTTAGCCTTTCCAGCCTCTACTGTGGAAGGTAGTAAGGGAGAGGGGAGTTGAGAAAGGATGTTGCATTAGCTAATTGGAAATGCCTGCTACATACCCTTTTGAATAATAATAATAATAACATTAATAACAGTACTACTATTAAAAAGAAAAATAATAGACAGTTAATGAACACTTAATAATGGTAATAATAATAACAAAAATAGACACTGAATAGCTCCCAGTGCTAGGCACTGTTCTAAGTGTTTGAAATAAATAATTTAATACTCACAACAACCCTATGAGGTAGGTAGTATTATTATCCTCATTTTTCAGATGAGGAAATTGAGGCACAGAGGGGTCAAGTGAGTTACCTAAGATCACACAGGTAGTCAGTACTGGAACCCAGGCAGTTCACACTGTTAATCACCATGTTATTTATTGACTCTTCTCTCTTAAGATATTTATTCATTATTCATTCATATGGAATTGAGCTGCCTCATTCTGGGATATGAGGAGATATCTTTGCCTCTGTCACCCACAGCATTCACTGTCTCTTCTCCCCACAGCGCTTGCAACAGCTCATTGCCCCTGACCCCAGCCTGCCACAGCCCAAGCAACATCTACATCTGGATGGTAGCGCCAGCCAGGACTGTGAGCCCTCCTCAACCAAGGAGGGTCTAATAGCTGGAGAGAAGGAGACCCACTTGTAGGATGTGGCCAGAGGTTGGGTAGCTACTAAGCCAGAAACTTGGGTCCAGACTGCCCTCCCTCCCCAGTGGACAGCTTCCATCTTTGTCTCCTACCAAAATCCTGCTGAGAACCTCTGGAATGCCTTTGGGTACCCCCTAGCCAAAGGCCAGAATCCTCTCCTCAGCTGGAGCAGCTTCTTCTGGTGGGCCAGAGACGCCACCACTGGAATATGCCTTGCTGCAAAGCAATTCTCTTTTGGAACACACCATCTTATTTATAAAAGAAGGTGGTCTTTTTGGAGTCCACCATTTGATTATAGCACATTACATTGTGAGGGGTGAGGGAACTCCCACTGTGGGGATGTTTCCTACTACAGCTTGCTATATTTGTACATTGGGAGGGTGTCCAGTATACACAGTGATTGATTCAGAGATCCCCATGGAACACATCCTATTGGAAGTGACAACTGAACACACCACATTGGATTATGAAGTTCCCTTACAGTAGCTAGCTCTGATGATGGAAGTCCTTCAATAGGCTTAATATTCTGAAGATTCCCTGGATGGAGAAAAAGCTAGGAAAATAGCCAGGAAGCAAACCTTCACATGATCGGCTTGAGTTCTCTTGGAAGTAGTCTCTCAAGCTATGCCTAACCCCAGCCCTAGTTCCACCCTCTGCTTCTTGCAGTGTTGTCATCAACTCATGGAGCACTGGAATACAGGAGACTTACATAGGATCCCTAGACTTTACAAATACACAGCATGCATACTTCTACTCTCCACTCCTGTGTCTGAGGTAGACATTGCTAATCAATCACAGATCCTTTCCCACCTCATCATCCTTCCAAACACCGTGCTTCCACAGCTCCATTTATTATCCTTGCAAACGCTCATTTTCATGGATGAGGAAATTGAGGACCAAAGAGACAAAGTGAATTTTTTCAAGTTCACAGTTTTGTAGGGCCAGAGGTGAGACTAAGACTGGTCTCCTTGCTGTCTGGCCAGAGTTCGTCCCGTTATACTCTCCTGCTTCAGTTAACAAACATGTATGGATCTCCTGCCACCATGTGCTTCTTTACTTTGCCTCATGTCTGTTCATTTATTCTGACTTGGGGCAGGGGAGGGAGAGGTCTCCTGGGTGGAAGCATGAGTAGGTCTCCATAGATTGGTGCCTTGTATTTTCTCTCTACCAGCTCATGCGCTCCTCTGCCCAGATTTCTGCTCTGAACCCTTTTGTTTTGCTACTTTCCATTTTCCTACACCCAGTGGGTTCCTTGGAGTCTGTAAGAGCCTGGTCTCCCACAGAGAGAGGGGGTATGGTGTATGTGCATGGGGTACTTTTCTTTGCTGCCCTATTGCCTTCCTTCTTTTGTCAGCCACTCCTGTTTCCCTTCCCCACATAGTCCCTCCTCTCCCCACACCTCTACCCAATCACACCAGATCTTTCTTTGTCTGGCAAAGACTTCCTGAAGAAGGAAGGCAGAGCTTGGATAAGTTCAAGATTCATGTGTGCAGAAGGGGAAGAGATGGAGTGGAAATGAGATGGGAACCCCCTTTATGGGAGTTCTTCTTAACTTCAGGGCAGTTTCCTGGGAGCAGAACCTGAGCACCAGAAGAAGGAAAGCTCTCTAGGGGGAATGGTGCCCAAGAGTCCCTGTTGCACAGTGGTTGAAGCAAAAATCTGTGGTTGCCAAGGCAAGTCCCATTGCTGACAGCCTCCAGGCCATCCTTAGTGCATCCACCATCCTGTGCCCAGATCTGTAGGAGCTTCGTGTTGTTGTTGTTATGTGCCCTCGAGTCGGACCCGACTCATAGCGACCCCTCCTTGGGTTGCTGAAGCAGTATCACTACGGAAGTAGATTGCCCCATATTCCTTCCGAGGAGTGGCTGGTGGGTTTGAACCGCCAGCCCAAGAACAAGGATCTCGGCACCCTGGGCACCAGCAAAAATCCAGTCTCTAGGTTCTTGCAGTCCCCTTCTTCACTTTGGAGTGTTCTGTGCCCCTATGCTCACCTTTCTTGGACTAGGTAGTGGATAAAGAAGGAGGTTCTAGAGGAAGAGATGTTGAGAAACTGCTTTAAATAGGCTGCTTAGGAGACTAGGGGGTCCTCAGAACGCAAAAGAGGAGGCTGACAGAGTGCTCTCTGCTGCCACCTGGTGGCAGGTGGGAGCAGTGCTGCGTCCCCTGGCCCCACCCCCTCAGACCTGGAAGGGTACCTTTTACCAGCAGGAGTAAAAAGCCTTCACCCTCTACCCTCACCAGATGGAGTGACAACCTGAGGGAGGAAAGTGTGAGCTGTCTCCTTCCCTGTATAAGATCTTGCACTCCGGATGTCAAATACTTCTCACATCCTTCTCCTGGTAGGGGTGGAGGGCTCCCCAGGAGACTCTGCTTGCTCTGGGGCAGCCTCGGCTGCAGAAGACAGAAGGGCTGAGGCCACTCTGGCTTCCTACCTCCCTTCCACTTCCCCCAAAGGGTGCCATGCTTTCTAAGCCTTGGTACTTCCGGCCTGGAAGACAGCATTTTCTGTTATAGGCCAGGTGGGCAGTTCTCACAAGGGTGGGCACAAGCTCTCTCCAGCTCACTGGGCCCTGAGTCATAAAGTCTCTGTCTCTGCAGTCTGTTCTCAGTCACCCATAGCCTCTCCCATCTTCCCTCTCCCCACACAAATCCACCTAGTGCTCTTTGCTGCCTCAGATGCCCCTGACTTTACATTCACAGCCTGACTGTGAAGGTCTCTGCTCTGGTGCCCAGGACTGTTAGAGACAGTCCCTCCCTCTAACCATGTCTTCACTCGTCGGGACTCAGTATGGAGCCTCTAGGGCCAGTGAGTTCAAAGGGATCTTGGTGGGAGGTGGTTTGGGGCTGAGGGATACAGGAAGTGAAGGAAATGTACTTGAGGCCAGCTTCTGGGCTCATAGGAACTCACTCGGTATTGAGTCCACTACATGTGCAAGGAGCAACAATTTTACTCTTTAAATGTGTCCAGAGTGCTAATACAGATGTATATGCATGTAGTGTGTACGCACGTGTGCGTGGAGAACAGGTGAGTTGCTTTTTTTTTTTTTTTTTGAAATTTTTGCAGTGTTTCCTCCCCTCCTGGGTTGTTTTGATTTGATGTCTGTTTCATCTCATCCCTTAGGCTGTTTAGTTTCATACTGGTGACCAAAGGCTTAATGTGGTAGGTAGATGTGATTTGTTTGGCCAGTAAGACGTTAAAGAAAAAAAAAAATTCCCAGTGAATAACTTTAAGTACTCTCTAGTTTGCCACAGGCTCCAATATGCCCTATTACTCACACCTGAACTTTTTACACATTCATGTTTGAAGGCATTTGGATTCAAACTTGTGCTCCAGGGGAAGAAGTGAGTACCTTTCAGCTGAGGAGAGGACCCAGAACCAGGACCTTGCTTGAGCAAGAGGAAGAAACTTTCAGGAGTCCCAGTGCCTTAGAAGTGGGTGGTCATGGGACAGTCACTAGCTCTGACTTGTCATGTGTGGACTTCCCACTTTGTAGACCTTCTGATGCTATTTATTAATCTTGCATTAATTCCCCCTTCCACATAGACTCTTCTCTGTGCCAAAGAAGGGTGGTGGCTAAGTCCAATTTCAGAGCTAGGTGTAAAAACATCAGACCACAGCCGCCGCCAAATGACAGATTGGACCCCAAAGCCAAATAGACTGCAGTTGGATTTTCTGATGTTTGAGATCACTCCTGTCTCCCAGGATTGCTCTCCCCTAATTTTAGGCAATGACATTTTTATCTGGCAGTGGCACCCCTATTCTGTGAGGTTAAGTCTGTCCCCGTCTTCCTGGCACCTTGAGCTCCTCCTTGGGACTCCTCTCACGCTCCCAGGCTGGGCTCCTTACAGAGTTGGCTCTCTGCGGCTGCTGGTATAACTGCACATCTTGTTCTCCCATAAGTCCTCTTGCCAAGGATGGGCCTGGTATGCTGGCTTGGCCTTAGACTCTCTCCTTCCACATCATACCCAAGAGATGCCAAGAGGCATCTTCCACCACCCAGCCCTGGAGGGCAGGCCAGCATGCAAGTGTGGATTACTCAGCATACTAGCTAATACTCTATGGTGTGTGTAGTCACCCTACCCCTTTCCCCATGGGTTGGGGAGTGTTCTGGGAGCTGAAGAGAGCCCTGAACTCCTGCTGAGATTGGAGCTACCAACCCCCTATGAGTGGAGTCCCACGTACATGGTTCTGGCTGTGTGTTAGGTTAGGAAAGGCACCTGACCAGGGGAAATTGCTCTTCTATCTGTCCCTGCATCCTACCTTTAACAGTGTCCCCCACCCCACCCCATGCAGAGCCCCATAAGAGAGGGCTAGGCTCTGGTTTAGGCATTCCAGAAATTGTCCAAGTTCTACTTCCAGCACCCCTCCCAAACTCACCTGTCAGGTCCAGCCCACTCTGTTGCCCCTGTTGACAAGAGGCATCGCATGTGCCTTCTCAATTCCTTCCCAATGATGCCCAGGGTTCCTGCCTCTGGGTCTTGGGTCAGAACTCCCCCACCCCATCCCCAACCACCAGAACCCTGGCTGAGATTAGCAGCCTCCCCCTAAGCCCCAGCCTCACCTGGGCCCTGCTGAGCCCCATCTGGAAGCCTCACACATTTTTTTCTCCCTTACTCAGGGCTCATCACTTCTGGATATCTTAAAATGGCATTTGAGTAAATGCTAAGAACCTGACCCTCCTTGGAGGGAGGAGAAGACAGGCAGACTTCTTGCTGTGCTGGGCTGGCTCTCCTAAGGAGTGTGTGTGTATTTATATGTGTGAGAGAGAGCAGGAGAGAGAGAGGGAGAACTGCCTAGCTACTTGCCAGATAAGCCTTTAGCTGCTAAGGTAAGGGAACAAGGCTATGGGAATGGACTTTGGGGAAAGGAGAAAGGAACAGAATTAGGTATCAGATTGGGGCCAGAGGACCATAGATTAGGAGTCCTGGAAGATAGCAGCATGGGGCTCAGGAGGAAGGAACTATGTCTAGGGTTTATGGGGAACCTATAGTTACAAGGAACCCTGGAGGCAC